GGCTGTAAATTTTGCGCCAATGGAGCAAGACGAAGTTTTTCACATTTGCTGCCCTTATGGTATGGAAACACAGAGTGAACAAAGTCTTTGTGGAAACGAAAACATGCATGTAGCAGAAAAGAGCTTTCGAACGACCTAAGCAATGTTCGCGAAAAGTGGTTTCTTCCCTTAGGAACGGCAGTTCAAAAGAGGAACAAAAAACGAGAACATTACAACAATACAAAAAAAATTGTTAATGCCATTTTACAAACAAAATTCCATTATTGCTGCAGTCTCTCACACAAACGCTACTCTAGGCCAGAATCTAATCTAGTCCTTACCTAAAGTACAATACTTTAATCATCGAACAGTGTTCCTTCCAAAAAAACATAACAAGGAATCCTTGTGCTGAATGAGATTTCGCTATTGTGTTCGCATTCATGCGACACTGAAGCTGAGCGCGCCCACAAAAAGTAACTTTAATGTGTAAGAATTTTATAAAAGAACTAGCTGGCAGATCGGCTCCGCCTGGAACTGTCAATGACATTTTTGTAGTCAGCATACCCATCTAAACCATGTGCCAACTTCCAGCCCAGTGCTTCAAACTTCGCAGAAAATCAATAAAATCGATATCAGGTTGATAACGAAAAATAGCCTATGATACCCGTCTCAGAGTGTATGTGTGCAAAGTCTCTCCTGATCAAATCAGAAACGGAATTTTCTACTCCAAACATGCATACCATATAAAGAGAGACATTCAACTATATCTAAGATTCTAGGAACTGCAGTCTTCCGCACTTTTTGACTCTTAATCAAATTGCGAAATTAGGAGCGCCATAGATTTCGTCTCCTATGACAGTTCATAGAAAATTACGATTGAATACCTATCCTGACGCGCGAACGCTGTTCCATTGCTGGGAAACAAAGCGGTGAAATGGGTGGGATTTAAAAAAAGCTTCCTCAAACTCAATTCAAAACCGTCCGCTTGGCTTCCGTCGCGTGAATATCTCTTTTACCACTTTAGAAGGTTCTTGAAAAGGACTACAACCTTCATATGCTTTCAGTTTTCTGACCATCTTTGCCACTGAGTTTGTAATACATGGAATGATAGTGAAACATCCTTGCATTGCGTGAAAAGGCGCGTTTCCGAGAAGGTACTCAAGTAAAGTGAGCACTTCAAATCTGACTAACTGTATGCGCAAGGTGACAAGACGAGCAAGGCTAACTAGGTCAAATCCAGCGCACGATTCTTTCTCGAAGTAGATATACGTACTAAAGCTATCTTCGCCTACCTCGCTCAATCGTGTAGTTACAGGCTGCGCCAAATTTTTTCTTTTTTCGCAACATCTCTTTTATGGGGAAGTCGCACGAAAGCACGCGTTAAAAATTTTGAACGCTTTCATCACACAGTTGCAGATAAGCATGTCTTTCACATTTTGAGATACCTCTTTAGGCGCTAACACAAGCCTGGGGCAAAAGCACCCACCGTCACCCGCAGGTCTCATCATCAAATTTGCATGACTGACCACGGAAGGTGATTTCGACATCCCGACACACACAGCATTGCGCAGCATGACGGATCAGGTTACAGTATGGCATCAAAATTTGTAGAAATTTTTTCGAGGATCGTAAATGCGGCATAAGCAAAATCACCGAAACAAATATGTAAAGGGAAACGGAAGGCTTTCATATCAGAGCTAGCTTGAATAACCTAGCCAGAACCAGAAGAAAGACGACCTCAAATTTTGAGCGCTTTCTTCTCATTTCAAACCATTTGAAGATAAGCAACTGCTAACATGCAAGCAACATCCACAAAATGTCTTCTCTAGTTCTCTATCTTCAGTTGTGGCGAACCTAGTACGTTTTGGGATGCAACTGTTTTCTACATTGCGAACAAGTACTGCGTCAGGGTTTCAGGTATCTTCAGTTACGAATATCACTAACGAATTCTTTCCGCTTTGCAGAAACCAGATTGATAAATTCAGCTCTTGCAAATACGAATGCAACCTTCAAATGTATGCTAAGTATGTTAGGCCAAGACGTGCACATCTATTTTTCTACCCTATGCAGATGCGCTAACATGCTAACAACATCGGAAGATAAAGGCAACTTTTGCTGATAATTATTAGACCTACAAATGTTTGTCTGCAGTTATCGCAGGGAAACGCAGATTATATGTAACATTATAAAATAGCTTATACCTTGGTTCAGTGCCATCATGTGATAGTTTCACAAGCGACGCACGAAAAAAAGCCTCGACAGTTTTCGGTTGCGGAAGCAGAGGGCCATCAATGTCTTGGCTAATGGCACACACTCTAAAATAATCATGAGTTGAGTCCATGCATGCTGTCTATTTTGTAATTTTGCCGTAAAAGAAGTTTTAATTATTTTTTCGCCGTATTTTCTTTGAAAAGGCTCTGCACTCGTGATTGCTCTCAGTTTCTGCTTCGATGAAGACGTAACTATATACCTAATATAGTGTTCTTATGAAAAAATGAGGACGTACTCAGTGTTTGAAAACCTCCAGCAACTAACTTTATTTTCATTGTTGGATGACTCGTCCTACACTTGACCACGCTTCTAGCGCGATGGATCAATGGCGCCATATCAATTTCCACTGATTCACTTGACGACGGAAGTCCTTCTACGCATCGAGGCCATTCAATGATTATTGATCTATAACAACTGATCATTCTTGCCATATTTTTACACCTTTATGTGCAGTTCCCTTACTCCTGGATGACTTGCTCAATGAGTGATAGTTGTGCAGTATGCTCTTCAGGAGCCATTGGGGCATTTGATAAGCGACGATAGAAGTTGGAAAATCTATGAGGACAAGATTATTGCGTGCACTTATTTGATTTTAACTCTCTCATCACAATGATAACTGACTCGGGTATCAAATCGTTTTCCGCAGTTTTCAAAGGATTGATGAGCAACGATGACGTTCTCTGCCGTGAAAGAAATTCCCTCTTCTTCGATAAAAGATTGTTGAACTCTTGCTTCATAGCGAACATACAGCAAGAACGTTTGGCCTTAACGAAAATTTTTTTTCGCGATAAGATGATAAAGGAAAATTACCGCTTTTTGAGCGAACATTATAGGAGCGTCGGGAAATAAAGCTGCTTAACGAGGAATTTATCGCTTCATCTTGGTGTATAGTCTTAATTTTTGATGGCAACTCAATAATACATAATATCGAATAAATGCTCTCCTTCTCTTCAGAAAGTCTACGAAAATAAAGTAGAAGGCAAATCCATGTTTGAGGATAGAAAATCCTATGCAAAGGACCACGCTATAGCTACTGCTTAGAGAGATTCGTCCGTGTACGGAGTTTTTGCCAACAAATTTGGTTTCCCCTTTATGTAAAACATCGGTCGCGCACTTTGAACTCATACACTAGATTTCCGGGACTTTTAGTTTGGTGTTTGAATGAATACAGTAAATTTTCAGTTCGCAAGCTTAAAGTCACACTTCTGCTTTGAAAAATCGAAGTTGAGCTTTATGACGGAGTTTTATTCCTAACTTCTCCTTGGCTTGCACCAGAGAACAAAACCACTGAACAGCGCTTTGAACTTGGCAGTCTTGATTCATAGGTTGCTACTTACCTCTAGTCATCCCCAAAACAAATGTGTATCAATTTGCATAGCACTTTATTGCATGTAAATGCAAAAATGGACTGAACAAAGAAGGTCATCTTACAGGAACTCTTTGTTATTGCATTTCTTGCGGGCTAAAGCTCGAAAAGCTAGTGTCACCCACACAAGCATTCAGGGATTTTTGTTTACACAATTACAAGTGAGACTGAAGCGTGCTATTGTGAAGTGTTGTCTACTGACAATGGCTCACTTCTATTTTACAAAAGCGTGCTCGAGTCCTACCCAATACTAATTCACGCGCCATACTTGATCCGCTTGATCCGCTTCATCATTGGTCACGTCAGCGAATTGAACAATAGCGAAGCGGTTATGCACTTGATCCGCTTCATCCGCTTCATCCACTTCATTATTG